TCCACGGTTTGTAGACAGAGATCGCAATCAGTTTAGCTTCCACTCACTTGCTATAGAAAATATTTTTTTCGGAATTATGTAATCATTAGATGATATAATGTTATGTTGTACTTGTAAGTAACAAGAAGAGGGTGTAAAGTACGTGTTTGATTCATAAAACCTGTTAATTTCGCTTTCAGGGCGTCACAATCAGCGATCTTATGATTCGTGAGCGTTCATTCAGAGTGTAAGTACAAATACTTATTATCATTATACCATCTGATGATTTCATAATTCCGAAAAACATTTTTTATAGCAAGTGAGTGGAAGTAACCCTGATCGCAATATGCTTTAATATTTCTCCTTGAAAATTTAGGGTTTTACACACAACATATAAAAAAATCAGCGATGTGTTTTTTGCTTTTTGAGTTATATATTTTTGAAATTATCAAGTTTTGGGTTCTTGCTAAATACTTCTTTGCGACTAGACTACCATGTGTTTCCATTGTTTTGTAGCGACGGTAAAATAGTCACGGCGTCACAATATCAGCTTCAATCGAAAAAATCGATGCGACCAAGATACTGCTAGGTTTCTTTTTATGTTGAAGTCGAATAGCTTCGCAGCATTCTAGAACCTCAGTTGGCGGCTACAAATAAATTTTCAATCGCTTGTCTCTCTTTCTCTCGTCGCTTCACTGGTCTTTCTTCTAAGCTTCGGTGAAACGGACGAATGAAAGGGCCCTCGAATTTGTGAGAAGAGTGAAGTGAATGCGGTTCAAGAAAGCATTGGAAGCCGCCAAATTAAACGTTTAAAATTGATGGAATACTTTTTTTTCTCTTTTGGTTTGTTTTCCGTCGATCTTGCTTTCCGTGCTGAGCATCAATGCTACCGACGCCAGGAAGGCAACTCCCACACCTGGACCCTACATATCAACCTATCAATTCATGAACCGGGGACCAACGGTGTTACTTCCCTTCCGAAGGAAGGCGTGATCAGAGATGTTATGCCTCAGAACATCCCGGTGGCGCCCACTGGGATTGAACCCTGGCCTGCTGGGGTGAGAGGTAATCAAGCTTACCACTACACCACCGGCGCTGCTAATGAGAATACTTATAATATTATAAATGGCGTTTGCGTCACGTTCTGAATATAAACATACCAGTCTTCTCCAAAAACTGCGTTTCGAAGATGATCCGAATAACTTGCATCAGTGCCAAACGGGGACTGCAGGAAACTTCAGAAGCTGTCAGTCTGCTGGATATCGACTGCCTTCCGAACCACAGCAGCGATTTCATTCGGCGAAAGTTTTAACTGTTCCAAAAATTCCAGGCAAGCGCATATAACCTGCATTGCATCTTACGGGAGAAGGGAAACTTTTCGAGAACGACTGAGCTTTCACCTGTTCCAAGTCATGCAGCTAAACTTCCTGAGTAACTGCTTCAAATGGATGAAAATCGCCCTTTTTGGGGAGGTCACGGAGTAGAACCAACTCAGCTCTGGAACTCTCTTCGGTCCCAAGCTAATCGATGCATCCCTCGAAACATAGCCCCTAATTTTATCGGTCAAACTTTCATAGCGAATCAAAAGAAACATAGTGTAGTACTAGAATTTCGACTGAAATGGGGTACGTTAATCGATTTTCTTGGGACCAATAGGCTAAAGGGTGATACGGTCAAAATTTGGTCAATATCAACTTGACGTATTTCTTTCAATTTTGCATTTAAAAAACCTGAACACCCCTCATTTTGAAAGGGTGTGTGTGTAGAATGTTGCTCCTATTTTGATTTTGGAATTCACTCTTCAGTTGTCAAAATGCCGTCCAAGCAAGAAGAGCAGCGTATCAAAATTTTGCTCGCGCATCGCGAAAATCCGAGCTACTCGCACGCAAAGTTGGCAAAATCGCTAAAAGTTGCCAAATCAACCGTTACAAATGTAATTAAAGTGTTTGGGGAACGTTTGTCGACAGCCAGGAAGTCTGGATCGGGGGGAAATCGAAAACCGGAAGCCGCTGAGACGACAAAGAGAGTTGCCGGTAGTTTCAAGCGAAACCCTAACCTCTCTCTCCGAGATGCCGCAAATAAGCTGGGTGTATCGTCTACAACCGTGCATCGAGCCAAAAAACGAGCCGGACTATCGACTTACAAGAAGGTAGTGACTCCAAATCGCGATGATAAACAAAATACGACGGCCAAAGCGCGATCCCGGAGGCTGTACACGACGATGCTGACGAAGTTTGACTGCGTGGTAATGGACGACGAAACCTACGTCAAAGCCGACTACAAGCAGCTTCCGGGACAGGAGTTTTATACGGCAAAAGGAAGGGGAAAGGTAGCAGATGTTTTCAAGCACATGAAACTGTCAAAGTTCGCAAAGAAATATCTGGTTTGGCAAGCCATCTGTACCTGTGGCTTGAAAAGCAGCATTTTCATAGCTTCCGGGACTGTCAACCAAGAAATTTACGTGAAAGAGTGTTTGAATAAACGTCTGCTGCCTTTCCTGAAGAAACACGGTTGTTCCGTACTGTTTTGGCCGGATTTGGCATCTTGCCATTACGGTAAAAAGGCCATGGAGTGGTACGCCGCCAACAACGTGCAGGTGGTTCCCAAGGACACGAACCCTCCCAACACGCCAGAGCTCCGCCCAATTGAGAAATACTGGGCTATTGTCAAGCGGAACCTAAAGAAGACCAAAAAAAAAACTGCTAAGGGCGAGCAGCAGTTCAAGGCAAACTGGCTTTCTGCGGCGAAGAAGGTAGACAAGGTGGCTGTACAAAATCTGATGGCAGGGGTCAAGCGTAAGGCCCGGCAATTCGGATTTGGAAAAGCGGAAGCCTAACTGAATATTTTTCCTGAATTTTATACTAATTGAACTTGAAAAAGAAATTTAATTTGATTTTTTAAATAAACGATTTCACCGATTTACACGCGTTTTCCCTTGACCAAATTTTGACCGTATCACCCTTTAGTCAAGTAGTGAGCCAATTTAAAATCGTTAGTTTTCACCGGTTGCCCCATTCTTGTCGACATTCTAGTACTACACTATGTTTGTTTTGATCTGCTATGCAAGTTTGACGGATTAAGTGAGGGGTTCGTGGATTTTCCTATGTTTCGAGAGGTGCATCGATTAGCTTGGGACCGAAGATAGTACCAGAGCTGAGCCAAAAAATTGAGCTCGTTTCTTTGGGACCTTCTGGTCTTAGAGTTACCTCTATGGTAATAGCAAAGAGGACTTTGGAAAGCAACCGTTTCGTGATGAATGTGTGAGTGCTGCAATAGAAGCACTCTGCTCCCCGTTGGCGAAACTGCCATTCAATGAAACCACTGGAAGCGGTTCCCGTTCTGGTGGAGGAGGCTTATTGGATAGCGGAAGATAAAATGTTTATTGTGTTGTACCCTTTGACTATAGTTTTAGGATGTATTGTAAAGTGAACATGAATCCTCGGCTCTGTATAGTTAATTCCGTTGAGCCTTATCAAATAAATTAATAAACAAATTAATCTTTTCCTTGATGACACATCAGATGGCAGATGGCAAATTAGTTATGTAGTCGTCATTAAAGTAAATCAAAGTCCGTTCCGGTCGCTTAAGAGTTAATACCACCATTTCCCTTCGTTTTATTTTTTATTTTTTTTAATTAAGTTGGTTGAAAATTGAGATCCCACTTTCACAAATAGAGGCCTAAAAATAAATTGCATAAATACAGACTGTTTATAGATTGTTGAGATAATTTAATATGATTTCACTTAAACTTATACCCGTTCGATTTTGGCAACAAACCCAAAAATTTAGTATTGCCATAATCAAACGGTTTTATTTTAAAATTTAATTTATGATTTGGTTAATTTTGGACCACCGTGAGTGGTCATAGGCGTTATTAAAAATTGTAACCACAACAAGCAAACATACATTATCCGTTCGATTTTGGCATGGTGTTAAAATCAAACTCCGTGGCAAAAACGGATGGTTTTATGGTTTTGTTAAAATCCGAACCGTGCTAAAATTGAGTAGGTACAGAATTTCTATGATATTTGGTTCATGAGTTATGAATTTTCAAATGTGATGTATAGGAAAATTTGAAAATATAATCTAAAATTTTCCGGAAAAAATATCCACTGCAAATTGTTCTGTTTTTTTTCATTTACATAATAATAAACTCTACCTGTGGGTGAAATTAAATAAAATTCCAAAAAATCCCCATTTCCAACAAAGCTACATCAGAAAACCTTTAAATGTTACCGAAAATATTACATAAATAGTGAAACATGATAGGTTTGTTGCTCGTAGAGTCAATGTCTTAGAAACGCAGAAACGTGGTTTATTCTACATTCAATTCGATTTTTTTAAAACTTCAGTTGACTGACATTTGAATTTTTCCCGCGAGTTTTCCGCGCTATTCATCTGATCTGACACTCGTCAGAAAAGAGCCTGAGATGCTTTGCGCATGCTTTGAATTCATTTCGACGCTATCTATCAACCTGACGACTGCGAATGAACATATTAACAAACATCATCCACAACCCCCCGTCTCTGTACAGCGGCAGTCAGTTTGTGGATCTTGATTTGTTTTTTCTCACACCCCGGCTTCGCTTTGCAATGCACCACCCCAGCACCTTGCACCATCAAGCGAAACGGACTTCGTCGGTTCGTCGATTTCCCCCTGGTGATAAAGAATTTCCCATCGGGGTTGGTGCGCATGTGTGTTCTTAAATTTTGGCATTTCTAGTTGTGACAGCTGGTTGATTGAGATGCTAATTTTTGAATTTCTGCAGTCTTTTATGGAATTGGGGACTGATTCCCATAGTAATTACATGCTTAAACTGAGTGATAAGTAAGTCTCAAGACGAAAACAGGTTCATCCATCAGATTGAATAATTTTTCAAAAATCCATAACGACCGTTTCAAATTCCCTTCGCCGAAATTTCCCATTTTCTCATGGGGCAACATTTTCCCGCCCCACCCCAACACCCGATTTAATCGTCGACCGTAAAAGATTGCTCACGCGGCATCTGGTCTACTTGCAGGCGCGATGGATCCCAGTATTCTAGCAACCATGGACCGTGACGCACTGAAGAAGCAGATCGAGAACATGAAGTACCAGGCTTCGATGGAACGGTGGCCATTGTCAAAGAGCATCGCAGCGTAAGTACCCTTTTAAGATTTCTATTACTTGCGGTATGACCATTCCAATTGGACCCGATCAACTCGAAAGAAAAATGGATTAACCTGTGAATTTCCCGTGAAGCGAGTGGCTTCGATCCGGGGAAAAGTGATAGAAAGTCGAAAACATGAACAGAAGGACTCCCCATTTAATGGTCGTCGATATTTTCGGGGTGTGTATTAAGTGAAGCAAATCAACGTTCTGTGCTGCTTGGGGGTGCAAAAGTGAATGAACCAGCCCGGACCGAAATTCTGCATCCATTATCAGTGGAAATCGCCCGGAGCAACTGGCTTCCATCGACCGGAAGTCTGTGTATTTCTAAAAAAGTGTTACATTTAAAAGCATGAATCAGACAGCAAAGGGTAGTACGGGAGGAAAAAAAACCGCACGCAAAATTATGCTCCGAATAGTTCCATCTCGTTCCTGCTGCTGTCTGCCTGGAAAATCCATCCCGCTCTATCACGCTAAAAAAACGTGAACACGCGGACAGGGGGATGATGGCGAGAGATGATGCTAACGAACGAACGGTGTGTGATATGTTACTGCTGCTGCTGCTGCCGTCGGTGGGTCGTCCCGATGGGAGGGCTAGACTGGAAGACAGAGAAAGGAAAATCGATTTTCTTATGCTTTCCATCCTGGGCCTAAATGCTACAGATATCGGCCGGAGCGTGGTGAAGTGGTGACAGAACGGAACATCCGTAGAAAATTGGGATTTTAGTGAATGTGATGATTACAATGTGCATACTTACTGTTGTTGATTTTGGCACACCACTTGAGCACGTTATGATTTGGGCATGTGTATAATGGCAGATGGTGGAGGTACAGATCCGGACTTCATAGGTGTGCTATATATCATTCTATGAAGTCACTTGAAATTCGGGAAAAATAATGCAAAATTACATACTGATGTACGTTAGGAATCAAATGAAGTGTGCAGTGACCATCAAATAAGTTCAATGGTGTGCGCAGGCTGCTAATGGGTTATTACTCCAAACGCCATTAGGCATAGTGTTCACTAATGTTTGTCATTGCTATTTGTTGATTACATGCAGTACATGCCTCCTTTAGCTCAGTCGGTAAAGGCGCAGCTATAAAGCAAAACCATGCTGGAGGCGGCTGGGTCCGATTCCCGGTTTGGTCTAGGAATTTTTCGGGTTTTAAAATTTTTCGCCTTCCCTGGACATAGAGTATATTTGTACTTGTCACACAATTATACTAACGCAAAAATGGTACAGGCTCCAAAAGCTCTCAATTCACAATTGTGAAAGTGTTTAAAGAACACTAAGTTGAGAGCCGGCGTACATTCCCAGCCGGGGCCTACTAAAGCCAGAAGAATATAAAATAACCAATATTGACGAATTTTTACAATTTATTGGGATAAAAATTGTTCCATATATTTGTTGAATGTATTTCGAAGTATATCTTTTTAATGTGTCAACATATCGGGTTTCAAACAAAATTGAGTTAAATTGGCACAAATTTACTCAAATAGGGGAGCTGCGAGCATTATGACCACGCGAGGCAGATTGGACACCCCCTATATTTTCCAAAATATCAACATTTTTTTTCAATTTAGATGCAACAGATATTTCATTCCTCTACTGAATGAGTAATTTAACGAGTGAACTAATTTAAACATTTTCCTTATCACCGTAAGTTCTTAAAAAAAAGGGAAAAGGCTTGCCGTGTGCTGAAAAATAATAATTCTCACGTATCACCAAATAAGGTGTAGCGAGCAGATGAGGGTAAATAGACTGCAATTATCGTTGCATTATATAAAAAAAATCATCAAGATTAGCTAAACTGTAATCATCATTGTCACTACAGTATCTTAACGGAACTGAACTAAAAATTTTTGGGGTTTTAATTTATCTTTTCAATTCCAAATCAAAATGAAATTTGTTTCACATCAATTTTTTTTTGAATTCATAGCCTTTTTTTTAATTAATTCTATTGAAATTTAAAGAATATTGTGGAATTCTAATCATAATTCTCTTTTGGTATTCAACAATTTTATCTGCGATTTTTAGATAATAGAATAATCCTTTATGTGGTTCTAGGGGATTCCTTTCTGGGCTTCTAATAGAATCTTTACTAAGATTCTAGGAGAATTATTTTTTGAATCAGAAATAATCCTTTCTGGGATTCTAGGAGAACCTCTTATGAAATTCTAGGAAAGTCCTTTCTGAGTACTAGCAAAATTCATTCCGGATTTAAGAATTCTTTCTGGGATTCTAGGCAAATACTTTCTGGGATTCTAGGATAATCCTTTCTGGGAACCAAGAAGATTTCGCTCTGGGATTGGAGAAGAATCCTTTTTGGGATTCTGGGAAAATCCTTTCTCGGATTAATGAAGAATCCTCTCTGAGGTTCTAGTAGAATCTAATCAGAAATGGATATGAATATTGGATTCTAGGACAATTTTTTCGGAGATTCTTGGTCAATCCTCATAATCGATAATAATCTTATCAGATATTCTAGGGGAATGCTTTCTGGAGTTCTAGGAGAATCTTTTCTAGAACCCGAGGTTTTCCTCTCCTGAGTTTTTAGTGAAATCCTCTCTGAAATTCTAGGAGAATTCCTTTTTTATATTCTAGGGGAATCCTTTATTGTGTTCTTGGAGAATTTTTTCTTAGATTCAAGGAAAATTCTTTCTGGGATTCTAAGGCAATCCTTTCTGAGATTCTAGGTAAATCCTTTCTGGGATTCTAGGGAAATTAATGCTGGGATTCAATAATTTTTCCTGGGATGTAATGGGAATCCTTGCTGGGATTCTAGGAGAATCCTTTTCGAGATTCTAGGGTAATCATTTCTCCGATTCTAGTGGAAAACTTTCTAGGATTCTGGGAGAATATTTTCTGAGATTCAAGGAAAATCCTTCCTGAGATTCTAGTCTGTTTCTGGGATTTTAGGAGTAACTATACTGGTGTAAAACAGCAAACAAGGTTATCTTCCATTTAATTTCACTTAATTAATTTTGGTATCCATCATAGATACTATTTCGAGTACAATGTTCAGTTTTCATCAGTGTCATTCCCACTAAAAAAATCCTATTAAGTTGAGTTAAATTTCAAGAATTCTATTTAGGATTCTAAGAGAACACTTTTTGGGATTCTAGGAGAATCCTTACTGGGATTCAAGAAGAATTCGTTGTGGTATTCAAGAAGAATCCTTTTTGGGATTCATGAATAATCCTTTCTGAGATTCAAAAAGTATCCTTTCAGAAATTCTTGGAAAATCTTTTTTGAAATTCTGAGAAAATCCTTTCTGGTAGAACCTAATCTGTGATTCTAAGAAAAGATAATTCTTTCTGAGATTTTTCGTCAATCCTTTCCGGGATTTGATAATAATCTTATCAGAGATTCTACTTGAGGGCTTTCTGGGATTCTTTGAGAGTCTTTTCTGGAATTCTAGGAGTTCCTCTCCTGGAATTCTAGCGAAGTCCCATCTGGGATTCTAAGAGAATCCTTTTTGAGATTCTAGGAGAATGCTTTCTGGCATACTTGTAGAATTTTTTTTTTAAATTCTAGGAGTTCTTCTCCTGAAATTCTAGTAAAATCCTTCTGAGATTCTTGGAGAATCTTTTCTGAGTTTCTAGGGTAATCATTTTAGAAATTCTAGAAGAATTTTTCTTGGTTTCCAGGAAAACCTTTTCTGGGATTCAAGAATTCTATCTGGGATTCTTAGGGAATACTGTTTGGGATTCTAGGGGAATCCTTGCTGGCACTCAAGAAGAATTCGTTGTGGGATTCAAGAAGAATCCTTTTTGGGATTCATGAAGAATCCTTTCTGAGATTCAAGAAGAATCCTTTCAGGGATTCTTGGAAAATCTTTTCTTAGATTCCAAGAAAATTCATTCTGGGATTCGATAAGAGTCATATTTGAGATTCTAGAGGAAAGCCTTTTGGGATTCTAGGAGAATCCGTTGTTAAACTCTAAGGGAACCATTCCTGGAATCCTACTGGAATCCCTCCTGGGATTCTCGAAGAATCCTTTCTGAGATCCAAGAAGAATTCTTTCAGGGATTCAAGAAAAATCCTTTTTGGATTCCGGGAAAATCTATTCTGTATCCTTTGCTTCTAGGGGAATCCTTTCTAGGATTAAGGAATCCTTACTGGGATTCTAGGAGAATCCTCTCTGAGATTCTAGGAGCATCCCTTCTGTGATTTACGGAGAAAATTTTCTGAGTTTCAAGGAAAATCCATTCAGGGATTCTAGGACATTCTTTCAAGAGTTCTAAGGGAACCTCTTCTTGAATTTAATGGAATCTCTTCTGAGATTCTAAGAGATTTTTTTTGTGGGATTCTAGGCGAATGCTTTCTGGGATTCATGAATTCTATATGAGATTTTAGGGAAATCCTTAGTGGGATTCTAGGACAATTCTTTCTGAGATTATAGAGGAATCCATTCTAGGATTCTTGGAGATTCTAACCTGAGATACTAGAAAAATTCTTTTTTTTATATCTGGGAAAATCCTTTCTGGAATTCTTGAAGAATCTTCCCTGATGTTCAAGTACAATCTAATCAGAGGTGCAAAAAAAACATTTCTTGGATTCTAGGACAATACTTTCTGAGATTCTTGATCAATCTAATCTTATCATTATTTCTGGAGAAGCCTTTTCGAGATTCTAGGATATTTCATCCCCAGATTTTAGTGGAACCCTTTCTGGGGTTCTTGGAGAACCTTTTCTGAGATGCAAGAAGAATCCTTTCAGCACTCCGGTGGCACAAAAGTCATCCAAGAACACTTTGCTTGATTTTTTTGGCTCTTTGTTTCGATTATACGTCAGTTATTGACAGCTGATGTAAAAATTACGAGTTTCAGCTCCATTTATGCGTTTGTTTGAACGGCCATGGTAACGTTGTGGTATTGATGAAAATTTCTCAAGTGAATAGTGTTTTCAATTGTTCTCTCGGTGTTTTTCAGTTTTGTTTCTATCGCTCTATGAAATTAAAAGAAAGAAGTGCATGAAAGTAAGTT